TTGGAGGTACGGAAACTGTGGTGGTCTCCGCCACTGTACTCAGAGTCGCGCTTGTCGTCTTCTCTCCTGGTGATGTGCTCTCTGCGGGAGATGTGGATGTGTCTGACGCAGGAGATGTCTCTGCAGCTGTGCTCCCACTGATGGTGCTGCTAGGCAGAGGAACCGTGGTTGTCAGTTCCACTGGAGCACTCGTATATGTTACTGTGGTATCCGCTGAGGATGTGGTGTCCGGAAGAGATGTGGAGGTCTCCGGAATGGAAGTGGAGCCTGTAGTGGTGCTCTCGGGTAGGGTAGTCGTCAGAAGAGGAATTGTAGTTGTCCTTTCTATTGCAGTAGCACTAGTTATTGCTGTAGTTTCGGCTGTAGAAGTGGTCCCTCCGGGAGAGGTTGATGGTATACCTGTGGTAGAGGTGGCTGCAGCTGTGCTCTCAGACTGTGACGTACTAAGGAGGGAAACCATGGTTGTCTCCTCGGCAGTAGAAGGACTGACAGTCAGTGTAGTCTCAGGGGAGGAAGTGGTCGCCAGTGGAGCTGTGGAGGTCTGTGGCCCACTTGAGGTTGCTTGAGCAGTGCTTTTAGGAAGTGTACTGCTAGGTGATTCTGATGTCGTTGTCCCTTCTGTTGTACCAGCACTAGGAATTGCTGTACTTTCAGCTGCAGTAGTTGTCTCTGCACGAGAGGCGGATGTTTCTGCGGCGGTAGAGCTGGCTAAAGCTGTGCTTTCAGGTAGCGAAGTTGGAGCTACGGAAACTGTGGTGGTCTCCGCCACTGTACTCAGGGTCACGCTTGTCGTCTTCTGTGTTGGCGATGTGCTCTCTACGGGAGATGTGGATGCCTCTGACTCAGGAGATGTCTCTACAACTGTGACTCTCCCACTGATGGTGCTGGTAGGCAGAGGAACCGTGGTTGTCAGTTCCACTGGAGTAGTAGTACTTGTTACTGTACTCCCTAGAAGAAGGAGAAGAATATCAAAATATGGGGACTAAATAAGCTCTAAATAGACTTTATTCTCTTTATGTAGTGGGAAAAGATATTCAAGTGATTGAAAAGACATGCTTGTAATTTGATTTTAAATCGTTTTTGTACAAAAATAAAGTAAAATATTTCTATTTAAATTTTTAATTCAGGAAATAGACGGTTTTTATTTTTTCAATGCATAAATATGAGTAATCTTTTCTTCTTTCTATAGGTCCATGGGATTTTCTGCGTAACAAACAATAATAGAGAGAATTGAAAGTAGGAATGTGGAGGATCTTACTGCTATAAAAAGCTAGTTAAGAAAGGTGGGTACTTTGAGTGTATGGGACACTGTATGAAATGTTTGCTTTTTACCAGAATTGTCTGTTTTCCAGGATGTGCCTGTAATAAAAAAATGTTAGTTAATGCAAAGTTTTTTATAGCTCATTGGTGTCTGGGATTACAACAATGATAAGAGACAGTGATTTCCACCAGTTTATAAAGGCTAGGTATTATGAATTATGATTAATTCCACTATCATTATTTATTATGTGTCTCTGTTATATAGGTTCTAGTCAAGATGATGGCTTGGTTGCTATAGATCACACTCACAGAGATAGGTATGAATCGAGGTTTAAGCGTATTGGGAGAAATTGCTCATCCCTACACTCTCATTGGTAAGGGCACTACATTGCTTAAGTGGCACATTAAGTCTCTCATGAGTCCTTCAGATAGTGACACCTAGACTTTAAGTTAGGATGAGGATCTGTTTAGCAATTGTGTTTGTTTTATGGAGAAGTTATCTAATCACCCAGCACCTGTTCACTCAATTCCCCGTTCTGTTCCCCTCCCCTCTCAGAAGTGTTATGATCACATCTCTAGATGACAACAGTGACATTTGCAAAGGGTGACCATGAGTTTCACTCCTCCCTCTTGCATGACTGCTTCACTTCACTTCCCCCATTATTGTTTGCATTATGACAGTAGTTCAAAATGCAAAGAGAGAGGTGTCACCTCAAATATTTGTGCCTGGCATCATCATAAATCTTCTGGGCCCCATAGCTATTCTAATCCAAGGGCTGAGTCCTCTCTGGAATGTGTTTGTCATAAAGGGCATCTAACAGGTGTTAACTATTTTGCACTAAGTACTCAGCTAAGTGGGGTATGTCTACACAGCAAAGTTATTGCAGGAGGAGTAACGGTAGTCTGAATTAGGGGCTTTAGTTCGAACTACCTAGCCCATGCCACGTGTAGCTCCTGGCAGGGAGTTTGAACTACCAGGCATTTAAAAATGGCAGTGCCCGGGAACATGCAAATAAAGCCTGGGATATTTTAATCCCGGGCTTCATTTGCAAGTTCAAATGACAACATTAGCCTCCCTACTGCGAACTAGGGTGGCTAGTGTAGACATACCCTAAGTCTTTAAGGTGCCACAGGATTCATTGTTGTTTCTGCAGATACAGATTAACACAGTTAGGACTCTGAAGACTTATTAAGCTATGACACTCATACAGGTTTGTCATCCTACAAGAATTATTCTCTCTCCTTGTCAGAAAGCCATATGTCCAAAGTCATCTACATCAAAGGATCTTAAGGAGGGGTTCACTGTATTAATAATCACATTTTTGGCATCTCACTCCCTGCCATCACAATCCATTCATGTTTCAGGTATGTGAGTCACTTAGCAGAGTCATTTATTGCTGACGAGAAATCATCCAGTTTATATAACACAAAGATTACCCCAGAGTTGCTCAGGTCCTTCAGAAGAGGGGGCTGGTGATGTTGGTGTGTGTGTGTGCAGGAGTCAGAGCAGGAGCTTGGGGAGCTGAGGGCAGAGGCCTGGGGACATGGAGGGTAAAGGAGTCAGGGTTGGGATTAAGGAGGGGCTCAGGGCAGAGGGTGGGGCTGGCTGCCAACTGCCCTCCGGGGCTGGAATGCTTGCTGGCCCCCGGGGTCATTTGGAAGTGTAACTGTCCCTGCTATCACAGCCTTCCCTTTCCATTTGATGAGAAGCAATTACATTGCAGGTACATCCCATTATCCTGGCACAACCAAACCCTGACCTTGTTGTAAGTTATGACAACAGGGAGCTGCATCCTGAACTTAGTGGTCCTCACTCTTACTATTTAGGGGTTCTTAAACTAATGGACTCACAGACAAATGGACGGACACACAGACAGACACAAACTCTTTCAAACATACAGATGATTTGAGACATTAACCAGGAAAATCAAAGTTGGGTGATTTTTCATTTCAGTTTGTGTTATTGTGGATTAAGAGGGGAAACAAAGTGATAGAGGCTCTCTACTCATGATATATCGACACCGTAACTGCCCTGGTTCTCCAGCGAGACTATGGTGGAACAGGGAATTGGCCATGGATTTCACAGGCCCTAGGCTACCACCCAAACCCCAAGATCATCCTTCCTCTCAAGGCTTTAATTTTCCTGCAGCTTTGTTTTTCAGTCTCTCAAACAGAAACGATAATTTACCCCCTCTCTGAAGCACTTTGATCCCATTTCCACATAAGAATATGCTTAAATGTAAGCAGGTAAAAGTGGTATTCAACCACATACCTGGGGGTATGTCTACACTTGCAGCCTATTTCAGAATAGGGCTGCAAATGTAGGCATTCAGAATTGCAAATCAAGCCTGGGATTTAAATATTCCGCGCTTGATTTGCATCTTCCCAGCCGGGTGCCATTTCTGAAATTTACAAGCCCGGAATAACTGCCTGCGTCTACACGTGGCAGTGAAACGGGTGTTTGAAATTAAGCCCTATTTTGAACTACCTGTTAAACCTCATTGCAGGAGGAATAACAGGTAGTTCGAAATAGGGCTTTATTTCGAACGCCCGTTCACTGCCGCATGTAGATGTGGGCAGTTATTCCAGGCTTGTAAATTTCAAAAATGGCACCCAGCTGGGAAGATGCAAATCAAGTGCGGGATATTTAAATCCCGGGCTTGATTTGCAATTCTGAATGCCTACATTTGCAGCCCTATTCCGAAATAGGCTGCAAGTGTAGACATACCATAAGGGTATGTCTACACTAGCTCGTTAATTCGAGCTAGGTAGGCAAATTAGGCAACCGGAGTTGCAAATGAAGCCTGGGATTTAAATATCCCAGGCTTTATTTGCATGTTCCTGTCCGGCCACCATTTTTAAATCCCTCTTAGTTCAAACAAATTGCCCGCGGCTACACGCGGCAGTTTAAAGTTAATCCGAACTAAGTCCTTAGTTCAGAGTAACTGTTACACCTCATTCCATGATATACCTAGACTTTAGTAAGGCATTTGATACGGTCTCGCATTATATTCTTATCAATAAACTAGGCAAATACAACTTAGATGGAACTAAGGTGGGTGCATAACTGGCTAGATAACCGTACTCGGAGAGTAGTTATTAATGGTTCACAATCCAACTGGAAAGGTATAACTAGTGGGGTTCCACAGGGGTCTGTTTTGGGACCAGCTCTGTTCAATATCTTCATCAACAATTTAGATATTGGCATAGAAAGTACGCTTATTAAGGTTGCAGATGATACCAAGCTGGGAGGGGTTGCAACTGTTCTGGAGGATAGGGTCATAATTCAAAATGATCTGGACAAATTGGAGAAATGGTCTGAGGTAAACAGGATGAAGTTTAATAAAGACAAATGTAAAGTGCTCC